AAATGAAATGAAGTATATACACCCCCCACCCCCACCACCCCCCCCCCCCCAAAAAAAAACAAAAAAAAAACAAAAAAAAAACAAATATTGAAAAAATTATCTGGTTGGTTAGTTTCTGTCCATTAACTTTTGAAAGCGACTACTGTGTCGATAATTGAAGAACTGGTAAGTTTATTTTGTCATGCATCGTGCATTCGAGGGGCCGCAATATTTGACGTGGCGTGCCGCGTGTTGACCGCCCCTGTAAGAAAGTACGTTACCTCAGTGGTTAGGTATACCGTAAAAAGAGTGTGGGTTAAACCATTTAATTTTTTAAAAGAATTGGTTGAGGTAGGAAAAAGGGTGGGAAAATGTGGTATTATTTGGGAGGTGAATGATTTTTGTAAGGGAGAGCTGAAAATATGGATAAGGAGAGAGACGAAACGTCTCTATGGGACAGTGGGAATAAGGACAGGTGAGAGTGATGGGGGTATTGACGGCCAGGTGAGAGTGATGGGGGTATTGACGGCCAGGTGAGAGTGATGGGGATATTGTCGGCCAGGTGAGAGTGATGGGGGTATTTCCGGCCAGGTGAGAGTGATGGGGTTATTTCTGGCCAGGTTAGAGTGACGGGGTATTGACGGCCAGGTGAGAGTGATGGGGGTATTGACGGCCAGGTGAGAGTGATGGGGGTATCGTCGGACAGGTGAGAGTAATGGCGGTATCGTCGGCCAGGTGAGAGAGATGGGGGTATTGTCGGCCAGGTGTGAGTGATGGGGTATTGTTGGCCAGGTGAGAGTGATGGGGGTATTTCCGGCCAGGTGAGAGTGATGGAGTATTGTTGGCCAGGTTAGAGTGACGGGGTATTGACGGCCAGGTGAGAGTGATGGGGGTATTTCCGGCCAGGTGAGAGGGATGGGGGTATTTCAAGCAAAGTGAGAGTGATGGGGATATTACCGGCAAGGTGGGAGTAATGGGGTAATGCCGTCAAAATGAAAATCAGTCTGGGGTTAAAGTTTATAGCTCTGGAACCTGCATAAAAAGGTGAATACATCGGTGTTTTCCATATCTTCCCCCACCCTTCCCCAGGGTTTTCCCCATATGTTCAAGCCTACGTCTATGAGCGAAGCTTGGACGAATACTGCGTCGGAAAAATGCCCAATACGAAGAATCGGCTTTACGGCTTTACAAGTGTCTTACATCTCATCCGTTTGTGCAGGTAAGTAATTCTATGGGATGTGCACCTGTACTAGGACAATTTTGTGAAAGACTTAGATGTTGAATCCGTTTGTGCTGGTAAATTATTCTAGGGGATGTGTACCTGTACTAGGATACCTTTGTGAGAGACAATCCGTTTGTGTAGATACGTAATTCCACTGAATGTGTAGGTGTAGATATACTTGTGCAGATACGTTATTCCACGGCATGTGTAGGTGTAACTCTACTTGTGTAGATACGTCATTCCACGGCATGTGTAGGTGTAGATCTACTTGTGTAGATACGTAATTCCACGGTATGTGTAGGTGTAGATCTACTTGTGTAGATACGTAATTCCACGGCATGTGTAGGTATAGCTCTACTTGTGTAGATACGTAATTCCACGGCATGTGTAGGTGTAGATCTACTTGTGTAGATATGTAATTCCACGGCATGTGTAGATGTAGATCTACTTGTGTAGATACGTAATTCCACGGCATATGTAGGTGTAGATCTACTTGTGTAGATACGTAATTCCACGGCATGTGTAGGTGTAGATCTACTTGTGTAGATATGTAATTCCACGGCATGTGTAGATGTAGATCTACTTGTGTAGATACGTAATTCCACGGCATATGTAGGTGTAGATCTACTTGTGTAGATACGTCATTCCACGGCATGTGTGGGTGTAGATCTACTTGTGTAGATACGTCATTCCACGGCATGTGAAGGTGTAGATCTACTTGTGTAGATACGTAATTCCACGGCATGTGTGGGTGTAGATCTACTTGTGACATGCGACTTCTGCCTATTCAAACTGATCCCTGTATTATTGCGTGGCTCGTGTTGTTTTCAAACTTTGCTGAGAAGGCCCTCGAGGCGGGGCGGGGCGGAATGATAAACATAAGATTGAGAACGTTGCGTGCCTCTCAATTCATAAACAAACAAGACACACTACGATGCCCCACGTCCCAACCCACCCTATAGCTTTGAGTTCACCGTTTGTACTTTTTCAGCGACGTAGTGATCTACAACAAGTGTCTGAAGGACAACAGGGAAAAGTTCCCTGCCAATGCAAACTACAGAGTCTCGTTTGTCGAGTCGTTCTTCCCCATCGACCAGGACATTGAGCGAGCAGGCTACGCTTTTTGCGGTCAAGCACTACTAGCGGGTAATGTCACAGTGGAGCATAGAGACCGTCACATACTATTTTTTTTTAAAAATATATAGTTAATGAAACAACTAAATGTGCATTTTACCCAGCCTTCTCAGATTTATCGTCACACATTTCCACTTTTTATTCTTATCTCTATCAGCTCCCTCGACCTACGCGGTCAGTCCTAAGAAGATGCTGCACTGCAAGAAGAAAGTCCATGTCGATAGATGCGAGTGGGAGCCGGCGGTAAAATATAATGAGTTATTTGATGCCATCTACTACAATGACACCGAGTGGATCCAGGAGGTTGCGTGCGAGTAAGTCCTAGCACGACGACCGTATCCAACATTACGCAACCGTGACCTAACCGTAGCAGCAGTCAATCATGACTCCAGTGGCAATGGCGGCAAAGCTCCGTTCAAAAAATGACTTACGTTCAGTTGTGTCGAACGATGGCAGAAATCTTAACCTGATTGAAGTAAACTTTGCCTCGGTTGATAATTACAGGAAAACGTCGCTTAATCGCGATACTTGGGTCATGTTAACAATGGGGTCGCACAACATACGGGGGTTGACCCTGACTGTACTGACACTGTTTGTACTGGCCCAGTTATTTGTGTTCTTGTCAGTACTGACCCTGTTATTCGTGCTCTTGTCAGTACTGACCCTGTTATTCGTTTTTACTCAACCTGTTTTTCATGTCCCTGCCAGTACTGACCCTGTTATTCGTGCTCTTGTCAGTACTGACCCTGTTATTCGTTTTTACTCAACCTGTTTTTCATGTCCCTGTCAGTACTGACCCTTTTGTACCGACTCTGCCATTGTTTGACGCTGTTTGCACGGACCCATTTATTAGTGACCCTTTATGTACTGACCCCGTTAGTACTGATCCTCTTATTAGTGAATTTGTTTCTAGTGAACCCGTGAGTTCTGACCCTGTTTGTACTGACCCTGTCAGAAGGGACCCTGTTAATACTGACCCTATTCATAGTAGTCCTGTTGATAGTGAACCTGTTTTTACAGCTCCTGTTATTAGTGACCCTGTCGGTACTGACCCTATTATGACAGGCCCTGCTAGTTCTGACCCTGTTATTAGTGACCCTGTCGGTACTGACCCTATTATGACAGGCCCTGCTAGTTCTGACCCTGTTATTAGTGACCCTGTCGGTACTGACCCTATTATGACAGGCCCTGCTAGTTCTGACCCTGTTATTAGTGACCCTGTCGGTACTGACCCTATTATGACAGGCCCTGCTAGTTCTGACCCTGTTATTAGTGACCCTGTCGGTACTTACCCTATAATGACAGGCCCTGCTAGTTCTGACCCTGTTATTAGTGACCCTGTCGGTACTGACCCTATTATGACAGGCCCTGCTAGTTCTGACCCTGTTATTAGTGACCCTGTCGGTACTGACCCTATTATGACAGGCCCTGCTAGTTCTGACCCTGTTATTAGTGACCCTGTCAGTACTGACCCTATTATGACAGGCCCTGCTAGTTCTGACCCTGTTATTAGTGACCCTGTCAGTACTGACCCTGCTTGTAATGAGCCTTTTACTTGTTGCAAATCTTTTTCATATTTTTAAAGTTAAATTGGCGTGAGCCACCAATGATAAGTTTTACTGTACGAGCCATAGGGTCAGCATTTGAACGCTTTGACTATACCAACCGTTAATAGCAAGGTCAGATTATTGGTTTTTATTATTTTGATTTTTCACGTTTTAGCATTTCTTACGCATACTGGGCGTGTCTGAGGAACCAGTACACAATGTGTAAAAGAGAGATCAGGCCAATGTTCAACTATTACTTCGCCCGACTGGGCCCGTAAGTTCATTGCTGTTGTTGGGGTGGAAAGAAGGTGATGCTGAAACGGTTGGGCTGAATGGTTAACGTTTCTGATTAATCAACTTGTCTGCGGTCGATGTGCAAGGCGATATGAGACACAAAATAGGGTAACACATAAATAAACAAAACAAATAAAGAACATGACGGCAAGAAGCCTTCGTCAGCAAACGATAGTTTCAACAAAAAAAAGGATATACATATTTTAAGAAAAAGCGACGTGAGTTACAGTTACAGTCTGAAGGGATAAATGGGGTCAGAGAAGCAGTTAATCTAAGATGATGAAACCGACCACTGTTTAATTGAACATTTTAATCTTTGGGGGTGTTGAGAGGTGGGGGCTGTTGCAATTTCGGATGGGACAATCATAATTATCATCTTGATCCCCCTCCCCCCCACTTTAAAAAAAAACCTTGTATTTGGCGTGAATACTGTTTTTTTCAAACGCATTTTTGTGTGATTTCCCTGTTAGTTCTGATCTTGTTTGCATTGGACCAGTTAGTACAGACCTTCTTATTAATGACCCTGTTACTACTGAGCTATTTGTACTGAGCCTTGAAGTACTGACTTTGTTTGTTCTGGACATGTGTTACGTACCGTTACAGTTATCAAGAGGACATCTGTGTTTATAGATGCCTCGTATACGAAACAACATGAAACAGAAGACGGATCTAGCAGTATAAACAGAAAAAACGCTACCTAAGCTAGCGATACTAAAATTTATTTTAAATATTTAAATCAATTTCTATATAAATACAAATTTGAGTACAGAAGATAAGAGTGCATCAACTTAAAGCAAGTGGAAAAAAACAAACACCAAAAGAGAAATATTAATGTATACAATTAAAAATGTATACGTCTCGATGTCTGTATATAAGTCTGCATAAATCTCGGTCATTTTGTCCACTGAGAAACCTTGTTTGCTTTATATATTGATTATATCCGAACGCTTTAGTACAGAAAATCTAGAAATTACGTCACCTATTGGCATTCATTAGAACAAATAGAACGCATACTAATGTAAAAAAAAACCTTTCTTCCCAGCCAGGACAAGAACTTTCCGAACACGGATAACTTCACGGTGAGGGTAACCAAACTGGGCAAGACATTTGCCGTGTCGAATGTTGACAATACTCCTCGCAACCCAATCACACGTCCTACTAGGTGGGGGGGGGGGCAGTCTTTGCGAAGACGTTCATTGCAGGAGATTTTAATGCCCGTTCGCCCATGTGGGGCTATGCAGAGCGTAATGCGTCAGGTAAACACGTTGAAGAGGTCTGTCTCGATTCGAATCTCATTATGTTGCAAGACGGAGAGAGTGCGCCCCACTCTACGGGACACAGCACGGAATCCAGATCAGACATGACTCTAGTTTCCGCGGACCTAGCGACCAGTCAGCGTCTGGAATTGTCGAACGACCTTGGCCGTGGGTGTTGTGCGTACTGCCCCGCATGCAAACCTGAGAGCTCAGTTTTGAATGCGTTCCAGTCGCCCGAGAGCCGCGCGACTCACGCGAAGGTCTGGACTGGAAGGCTATTGTCCACTGCCCCCCTAATCTACTGAGATGAAGGACCTCAGTAGTCTTGCGTCTGCGCATCAATTGGTGCAGGCCAGCCTTTTTCACCAGGCCCAATTTTTGTGAAGTCATGGCACATAGTTCGTGTATATGGTTGCGAAGCTTCTGATCCAACTTCACGCCTCAAAAAAACTTTCCCACTTCCAAGCATGCTTCCTGGACGGTTTCCCATCTGTGTAGCCCCACATGGGCAACTGGGCGGCAAAGTCTCCCTCTATGATAGTCTTGGCGAAGAACGTCTCAGCGCAACCCCCCCCCCCGGGTTGGTAGTGTAATGAGGGTTGCGTGGTGTGTTCTAGATATTGATCACGGCGAATGTCTTACCCAGTTTGGTTACCCTCACCGAGAGGGTATCCATATTTTGAGTAATTCTTCACTTCTGCGACTTGTACCGCGAGGTCGTTTCTTACCGCTGTGGTAATCCCTCGACACCTGCCACACTTGCAATTGTATCGCGAATAACGTGTGATGTGGAAAGGCTTAGCATGCAAGAAGTTTTCCTGGAATAAGGCTTCATCCGCTTGACGTTCGTGGAGCAGTTTGGTTACTTCGTGCGACTTTTGTCGGATTCCACATACATTCAGTTGGAGGACCAACACGGCTTGCTCAGCACGGCCCTTCGCTCCCTTTCTTTCACGACCAGACACGTGTTGGTCTTGCGAGGACGCCTGTCGAGGGTGGAATGAGCAAGCGGTGACCGCTTCACCTCGAGGGTGACAGTGGAGGGGGGTGGATGGTGCCCTGCGACCTCAACAGAAGTTCGACCCGTGACCACCTCGTCCCCCGGAAGTGGCAGATTGCGTTTTGGGTTTGGGCAGAAGTCTTCCTCTCATTGTGAAGGGGATACTTCGAGACCCCCCTTCCTCGCCCAGTGAGTCTTTCAGTCGGGACGTGGCAAGTGCCCAAGGTTATTTAGCTTTGGGTAGTCGGGTCCACCCTACTAGTCCAACGTGCGGCGATAGGCATGACCCTTGCGGACACAGCAAATTTTCCTCGCAGTTCTCTGTGTTCACAGATGGCCGACCTTGTTACTACTGACGCTGCTAGCACTTTCCCTATTAGCGCTGACGCTATGTGTGCTGACCCTGTTTGTCCTGACCGTGTCTGTACGTACCCTGTTTGTCCTGACCTAGTTTATACCGACACCGCTTGTACTAACTCCTTTTTTTTTTTGTACTGACAATGTTTGTACTGACCTCGCTTGTACCGACCCTTGTATGTCTTGAGTGATCAGATACATGATGATTTCCACATTTTGTTTTCCCATAAAAGAACACTCCATTTTTCTCTTCTACCCCCCTCCCCCCCCCCCCCCCCCCCCCCCCCCCCCCCCCCCCACCCCTCCCCCCCTCCCCCCCCCCACACACGCTCCACAGCAGGTGCTTATTACGTCACTCCGAAAGAAACTTTATCATGCTAGGAGAGCAATGCGAGCACAGTCCCAATGACCCTACGGATCCTGATTCGGCTGACAGGCAACGACAAGGCAAAGGCGGTTGTTCCAGATACCTGGGACGCGTAGAGCTGCTCCTTCAGTGTTTTGTAATGACGCAAGCAGTATTCTGTCTTTATTATAGACCATCGGTAAAAAAACAAGAAAAAAATGTTTGATTTAGATTTTCTGAAGGTAAAATTTAAGACAAAAATGTATTTATTTTCTCTTTTTAACGGGCGCACAGCAAATTTTGTCTATTTGAAACTTACCAAATATTAGTTTTCAAACTAATTTGAGTAGACACCATTCCAGCAAATTTTGGACGTCTATAATTTATACCCTAAAATCGATCACTAATAAGTATTATTTAATTATACGTGTAAATGACCGTTCCAAAGTCCTCCTTGTTAAAGGACAGTTCCAAAGTCCCCGTTGTTAAATGACATTTCCAAAGTCCTCCTTGTTAAATGACATTTCCAAAGTGCTCCTTGTTAAATGACATTTCCAAAGTCCTCCTTGTTAAATAACATTTCCAAAGTCCTCCTTGTTAAATGACAGCTGCAAAGTCCTCCTTGTTAAAGGACAGTTCCAAAGTCCCCGTTGTTAAATGACATTTCCAAAGTCCTCCTTGTTAAATGACAGTTCCAAAATCCTCCTTGTCAAATAACATTTACAAAATCCTCCTTGTTAAATGACAGTTCCAAAGTCCTCCTTGCTAAATGACAGTTCCAAAGTCCTCCTAGTTAAATGACAGTTCTAAAGTCCTCCTTGTTAAATGACCGTTCCAAATCCTCCTTGTTAAATGACCGTTCCAAAGTGCTCCTTGTTAAATGACAGTTCCAAAGTCCTCCTTGTTAAATGACCGTTCCAAAGTCCTCCTTGTTAAATGACAGTTCCAAAGTCCTCCTTGTTAAATGACAGTTCCAAAGTCCTCCTTCTTAAATGAAAGTTCCAAAGTCCTCCTTGTTAAATGACATTTCCAAAGTCCTCCTTGTTAAATGACCGTTCCAAAGTCCCCCTTGTTATATGACATTTCCAAAGTCCCACTTGTTAAATGACAGTTCTAAAGTCCTTCTTGTTAAATGACAATTTTAAAGTCGTCCTTGTTAAATGACAGTTCCAAAGTTCTCCTTGTTAAATTACAATTCAAAAGTCTCCCATGTTAGATGACAATTCCAAAGTCCCCCATGTCACATGACAGTTCAAAAAAAATCCCGTTGCCTGTGTGATAACGTTTTATTGCAGCAGCCATATTAATAGCAAGGATGAGCAAGATCCAAAAGAATGGGGAAAAATTTAGAGATTATTCTATGAGACCAGAAGATTCTGGAACTATATAATTTATGGTGACTGTCAGTTGTAGAAGCGAAGAATTTGGGAGCTTCATACGACACTTTGACATCACTTCAGACATCACTTCAGAATTTACTTCAGACATTACTTCAGACATCGCCTGACCTTTTGTATCGATTTTTTGTGTGCGGAAACAACCCCCCTCCCCCAACTTTTCCCCAATCATCCTGAATATATTTGGTCACCTGTCCGGGCCCCCAAATAACCTGCATATATAGTGTCACTTGTGCGGCCCCCTTCATCCTGCATTTATTGGCTTACATGCAGCCCCCCCCCCCCCCCCCCC